AACAAAAACATAATAACAACAAATTGTTGTTAATAATAATAATTTAATTTCTGTAAGAAAAACATATTTTCATGCATTTTTATATCGTTAATAACAAGCATTACAATGTCTTAAGAGACTCGCTGTGTATGAGACTCAATACTCGCTGGTTGTACTTTTGCGGGCATCCAATTCGCTAGGTGGCGATGTTGCAAAACAACTAGGGTCCCAGGACTGCAGCCCTGAAACTGCAGTCTCCGACGCTGCAGCTTCATACAGCGCGCCGGGCTGGCAGCCACAGCCGCCGGGCTAAAATGCTGGTCACATCCTTATGTAAACAAACACGCATGTAAACGGCAATTTATCGAGCTCAGAAAAGTTATCGAGTCCATTTTTATTTATCGTACGATAAGTCAATTTATTGATTATCGCAACAGGCCTACATATTCTTCCATTCATAGAAGTGTTAGACTGTAGACACTGGCCGGACACTGGGCCTCTGATGAGTCAAACGTTTCCCTCCATCTGTGGACAATGCACTGTTCATAAAATCCTCTCTGTGTGTATGTGGCCACCGGACACTACCCACAGCTTCATCAGTAATGTGATGATTTGTCTGAACAAAGTCCACTATTCACAAAACAAGGAGACTCTGGCCAACAGCAGTAGCACCGAGAGCCTGAAATAGAAAGGACGGGTGTTTGTGTCTGTATGTGTGTTCTCAGACATCATGTTTATACATTACAATGAGTGTTTTTATCAAAACAGCCTGATGCCCTTAGGGAGTCAGTTCTCTACCAAGCACCTCGCCCAACACAAGTAGCCTCAGTGTGTTTAGCTGGTTACCTTCACAACAACTAGTGCAAACCAGATGCATTCCTCTCTGAGTGCTGAGTCACACCTCGGGATGGGCCGCTGTAAAGATGTTCCAACTGGTTTGATATTCAGGCGACAGCTGTACGGAATTCAACACTCAGCAGCGGGAGTGGAACATAATGAGCAGTGTTTCCCCTAGGTTTACTGCCTTGGCAGGGTGCTGCTCTGGTACCCCCCCCAATTTGAATTTTTGTTATCCTCTGGAGCAGAAAGGAGCTGTGGGTTATTGTTATTGTTATCGTACAGTAACAAAGTATTTGTACATTAAAAAGTAATAAAGTACAGTGTTACACTGTACTTTATTACTTTTATTCAAACTGTATTCCCTTCTTATCATGTAGCCTACACTTCTTCCTTTCATTGATACATTTAAATCACCTGACTACAGCATATAAAATACCTGCTGCAACCCTGTGCTGCTGCTGCTTCTCTCTGCCTCATCCTCTATTGCTGGAGGCAGCTCCACCTCATCTGATCTCTGATATGAAAGCAATCGTGTTATGATCATATTGAGCTATTGGTGTGAGTCTAACATTAAACAAGCAGTCTGCTTGTCATACATTGCTAACGATACATTTTAAGAGGCCATTTGTTGAGTCACTGCCGCTAAATGCCCGTAGCATCAAGCTAGCAAATCCTGCATTAGCCTCACATCAACAGGTGTATATCCAATTATCCTGAGCTAATTTACTGAATAAACCAACTCACATCTCCTGTCTTTTTTTTCACCCAACTCATTAGACTATTCTTCTGCTGGCGTTTCATTGTTGTTTTCTGTCAAATTCAATACTGTAGTTCAAAACCGCGGTACCTGCTCACCATCTGTGAGCTATTTTTAGAATGCGCGCGGCACGCTACGTTCGTTGTCGCGTTCGCGCGCGTCCACCTGGGCAGGCTGTGGGTGTTTCTCAATGTCGAGTAAAGCTGCTTCAGAGCCACTATTTCAAGCATACTACGTCATCGAGTGCCGCCGAAGTACTGTTCCAATCTCCAGCATACTTGGAAATCTACCGAGCCCGGCGTACTCCGTTTGGAGAAATATCGAGGCTGCACATGAGTAGACTCCGCGGTCTTAAAATCCCCACAATGCTTTGTGCACGGACCAATTTCCCCAAATCTGTGGCGGAAGATGTAAGGCGGGGCCTCTCATATGACGCACACCTGCACACTTGCTAGCGTGTTCCACACTTCGTTTTCCGAATGCCAGGAAGTATTCTTGCCTCGCTTCTGAAGCAAGATGCTTGGCAGACATGTGCTACCAAGCAAGCGTACTCGCGATTGAGAAACACCCTGTGTGTGTCCTTCTCCGTGACGATAATGGCTTGAGGTTAAAAAATAATAATAAACTAATTTGAAACTGGGGGGGGGGACACAAACGGGCAGACAGCAGAGCTCGGGGCAATAATGCAGATTTGTTTGACTTTTTTACACTTTGTTGTTCTCCTCCTTTCCTCCGCTCTTGTCTCTGATTGTGAGTGTGTGTGTGTTTGTGTGGGGGGGGGGGGGGGGGGGGGGGGGGGGGAGGGGGGAGGGGAGCTTTTAGCTACAAAAATGCAGAAAAAGCTTAATATTTAAAAAAGGTATAAACAACAACATGTATAGCCTTGATGTCCTGAAATAGCTGAATAATGTAATAGTTGAATGGTTTCTGCAGCTGAAAATAGGCTGAAGGAGTTAAATATCAGATGTAAGTAGTAGTGAATGAATTTGTATTAAGATGAGAAAAGAAAGTAAAAAGGCTTGGGAAAGCAGCAGAATATTTGAACTGCAAACTTTTGAACTAACTTGATGGTGAATTATCTGTCGCCATGGTAACGGCATTTGATGACACCCCATAATATGCTTAGATGTGTTGATGGCTGCATCGTTACCAAACCTGTGAAGTTTTGGGCCATTTCGAGCATTTTCACTGAAGTTATGAGAAAACCGTGTTTCATGGTGAGCATTGTGTTGCCATGGCAACGGCATTTGAAAAAATCTCAAAACTGTCCCGTAGATGTCTTCACGGCTGGACTGTTAGCACACAATGTGAAGTTTGAGCACTTTTTGAACATTTTCATAGGAGTTATACATTACATTAGGAGGTTACATTACTCTCTCTCTTCTCTTGATCGCCCTCTCTCTTCTCTTGATCACCCTCTCAATCTTCTATCGCCCTCTCTCTCTCCTCTTGATCGCCCTCTCTCTCTCCTCTTGATCGCCCTCTCTCTTCTCTTGATCGCCCTCTCTCTCTTCTCTTGATCACCCTCTCACTCTTCTCTTGATCGCTCTCTCTCTTCTCTTGATCGCCCTCTCTCTCTTCTCTTGATCGCCCTCTCTCTCTTATCTCTCTCTTCTCTTGCTCGCCCTCTCTCTTCTCTTGATCGCTCTCTCTCTTCTCTTGATCGCCCTCTCTCTCTCCTCTTGATCACCCTCTCTCTTCTCTTGATCGCCCTCTCTCTCTCTTCTCTTGATCACCCTCTCACTCTTCTATCACCCTCTCTCTTCTCTTGATCGCCCTCTCTCTTCTCTTGATCGCCCTCTCTCTCTTCTCTTGATCGCCCTCTCTCTCTTCTCTTGATCGCCCTCTCTCTCTCCTCTTGATCGCCCTCTCTCTCTCCTCTTGATCGCCCTCTCTCTCTCCTCTTGATCGCCCTCTCTCTTCTCTTGATTGCCCTCTCTCTCTCCTCTTGATCGCCCTCTCTCTCTCCTCTTGATCGCCCTCTCTCTTCTCTTGATCGCCCTCTCTCTCTTCTCTTGATCACCCTCTCACTCTTCTCTTGATCGCTCTCTCTCTTCTCTTGATCGCCCTCTCTCTCTTCTCTTGATCGCCCTCTCTCTCTTATCTCTCTCTTCTCTTGCTCGCCCTCTCTCTTCTCTTGATCGCTCTCTCTCTTCTCTTGATCGCCCTCTCTCTCTCCTCTTGATCACCCTCTCTCTTCTCTTGATCGCCCTCTCTTCTCTTGATCGCCCTCTCTCTCTCTTCTCTTGATCACCCTCTCACTCTTCTATCACCCTCTCTCTTCTCTTGATCACCCTCTCTCTCTTCTCTTGATCGCCCTCTCTCTCTTCTCTTGATCGCCCTCTCTCTCTTCTCTTGATCGCCCTCTCTCTCTCCTCTTGATCACCCTCTCTCTCTCCTCTTGATCGCCCTCTCTCTCTCCTCTTGATCGCCCTTAATTGTTACAGCTCAAATGCATTGCAATGACTTCCATGTTAAAAAAAGACTTTAAAAAGCTGAATGTTTTAAAAAGTGTAACATATTTTGAAAAAGTTGAAAGTTTCCCCATCATGTGCTGAAAAGGCTGAATAGTTTGATATTTGAATGGTTCCTGCAGCTGAAATTAGGCTGAAGGAGTTAAATAAAGATATTAAATGTAAGTAGTAGTGAATGAATGTTTACAAACACCTGTGTGTGTAAACCCAGAGATGAAAGGTTACCATGGTGACGACTTATGACGATTTACCAACTGCAGCACTGAGGCCCATTAAGAATGCATTGAGGATTATATCTGACAATTTTGCCACCTGTTCAAAAACTATGGCTCCTATCAAAAAATTACCAGACCGTGAGCATCAGGGAACCCCAATGAACTATTTGTTTTTTTGGTTTTGTGTGTAAAATGTGGAGATGGGAGCAGTTTGTCTAAAGTGTACTTCTCTCTGTTCTGAAGAAAGTTCCGGAAATATTTAACATGGGAATTAAAAAAAAGAGTTTAAAAAGCTGAATATTTCAAGAAGTATAAAATATTTTTAAAAATGTGAAGGTTTCCCATCGATTCCTGAACAGGCTGAATAGTTTAATATTTGAATGGTTTCTGTAGCTGAAAATAAGCTGAAGTTATGGAGAGCCAAAGTATTGGCGGAAAGAATAAAGATTTGAAGTACTATAGTGGAATGCTGTGGCACAGCATTCGCACTAATAAAGAAAAAATCGAAGAACTATAGTGGAATGCTGTGGCACAGCATTCGCACTAATTAAAGAAAACCCATGCCTTTTCTGGCAGCTATGATGGACTAAAAGCACCTGTTATGTCTCTTGTTATGTGGCTCATCTGTATGTGTGCAGTTGCATTAGTTATTGTTTGAGAAGATTTATTTGTGATGCACAGTCAGGTAACATCTTGAAATAAAATGTATGTTTGTGTTTTTCTCTCTCTCTCCAGATACAAGCCCTTCTTCCCGTTCCAGGTGCTGCCCTCTCTGGGTTCAGCCTGTGATCTGGACCTGTCCGTCCAGGAGAACATGCTGGTGGAAGGCCGACTCAGAGTCACGCTCATTGAATGTAGCAGGTGAGACACTTCTCTTCTCTACTGCCCCTATTTGTCCACATATGTATTTTTGTTCTGGGGCTGTTCTTCCTGGTTTGGATAAAGTGTGCTTTTGTGCTATCAAAAATAAAATGGTATGCAGTTTTAATGCACACACACAGCCTCACAAACTCAGGCTTTTAAAGAAAAGTCACCAAAATGCCCATGAAGTTCATTTCCATTTTCATTATTTTGTAGGAAAAAAACATTCACTCTACTGACACAAACCATGACTGAGAAGGAGTAGGGAGTAGAAAACATGTCATTTAGCCAGCTCCTCACTCACTTCCTCAGTTGTTTTTTATATCACCAGTTCATAACCTGCATGAGTTGCTTTTGTATCAGCCTACACAAGTCTTTCTAAGGGGAAGTAATAAACTGCCAGCTAACTAGGTCATGAGTTACATTTTAAATCGAAAACCTATAGAAATTAGCTTTCTTTTTTACCCTGAAATGAAATGCAGTATGGGTGATTCGCCCTTTTTTTCCACCTGCCTAAAATAACTAAAGCAATTTCTTTTTTTGTCGTTCAAAGATTAATTCTTTGGCTTTAACCTGTTAAGCACCAAGCCTGTTTTTCATGTTTCAGGCTCGAAAATGACATGCCCAAAACAAATGACTACAACTTAACTTCTAAAAGGGTTATATGAATAATTTCTTTTATCAAAGCAAGGTTACATCTGTGAGTTGGATGTAGAAGTGTCAGAATCAATATAAATGTTTTTTATTTTAAAAAAACTCAGATTTTACATAGTAAAAAACTGTAAATTATAGTGTCCGTCCAAAAATTATTTTTTACAGAGTGAAAACTACCCTTGGATGATGGGTTAGTAGACTAAAAGCTTTAGGAATCCAAAGTACAACATATAATAAGTACCCTGTATCAAGATTGATGCAAAACAAGTGACATTTGACCTTTTTAGAGAGGTTTAGCCAAAACCACCCCACCTTTGAGGTGATTTGGGTGAAAATGTTTTTTTTCCCATATCTCTGGCCCCCCTTGCTCGATTTGGATGGTTGACACCTCTTTCTGACTGTTAGAGCCAATAGGATCGAAGGGGGAGGCTCCCACACACACACATTGTGAAGAGAAAAGGTGGGGGCTGCGCGCATGTAAATGTGCAGCAGAGTGAAGGATTTCTAGCTCTGGCATTTGGAAACGAAAAAGCAGTTTTATTGCTTATGGATTATCAGAAATAATTTCAAAGAGGGATACATTGGATGAACCTATGGATTAACTGCAGCATCGTTTTTTTATCGTTTTAATGCCATTGAAGACCAGTTTTGACCAAGGTAAGCCATGTTAGCGTTTCTAGACTTAGCTCCACATGTTATGATGTACGCTTTCGTTTATAGCGTCGCAAATGTTTATCACTGAGTGTTGAGGTGGGCACCACTAGATTCAGTGTCTCCAGGATACCAAAAACGAGTGGTTGGCTGTGCATCTAGGATAAGTAATAAGGGAGTTATTGTGAGTTTAAGTGCCGTTTTAGGTTACATTTTTTCGCTCGTGGCTAATTCAGAGGCTGAGTGTTAGCATTGTGGGTTTTTAAAAAAAAAAAAGATCAGTTAGCTGAGTTTCTTCCCGTTACATGGATATAAAACATTCATAGTTTTATTAAATATTAAGATTCCTTAGACGTTGTTTCCTGCAAATGACGCGTTTATCCGCCCGGTACCGGGCGGATGGTGCGTAACAGGTTAATACTTTTTTCAGTTTGAACCACTGACATGCTCACCATTAGAAAATGGACAAAGTGACACCATCTGGCATAAATCCATGTCCTGATAACGTGGCACCCTTAAGGCCCCTACACACCGGGCCGATTTTCGGCGTCGATGGATGTCGATAGATGTCTGGCCGTCGATGAGCGTCCTGTCGCCCTACTCAGATTGGTGTGTACTGCACCGTCGTGTCTTTTCGGCCGTGCCGACACCTTCCGCCGTCGATTCAACATGTTGAATCGGTAGGCTGTCGGTAAAAGGCCGTCGGCTGATTGGCTGTTCAGCTTAGCGAATCAGTGCATGAGAAGCGAAACGGAAGCGAGGGACCAAAACAAACGTTTAAGAAGGCACATCTGAGATTGAATTTAACTCCAGCTCTCGACACAGGTTCGGGAAAGCCCCATGAGCTTCTCGTTGTAGAGGGAAAACACTACCGCCGCCTGCTGGTAAGGAGAGTTATTGCCACTCACGCATGCACAGTTCGTACGTGCTACTTGGCTGTCGGCTGAAGTCTTTGCGGTATGTTCCAGTGCGACTGTTGGCCAAGATGCAGGAGACGTGAGGCGACACAACAGTCGGGTCCGTCGGGACGTGTTCTTTGGTGTCAGATTGGTGTGTAGGGACCTTTACACGTTTGTTTCTGTCATTGTTAATAAATGCTGTCATGACCTTTCAGCTTCTTTTGTACATTTAGATACTCTGTGGTATCTCCTATGAATGCAAACTGATCATCATTAGTTTTTTTGGGAACATTTCGGATTTTTAAAGACTAAACCACTAATTACTTAATCCGGAAAATAAACAACAGATTATTGGACAATGAAAATAATTGTTAGTTGCAGCCCTAAATAATACATTCTGAATAAGGGATACACTAAATAAAGAACATAATGTAATAAATAATATAACCCAAATATAATCTGAATCTCTACTGCAGCTGCCATTACACACCGTTTTTAAGACTCTAAATCAGCTGCCGTTACATCCCACTCTGTCTTTGTCCTAAACTAGCATGTTTAAACTTTAATTGGCTAAGAGTCAAACCAATTAGCCCTGAAAGAGAGACTTTGAGGAGACATACAATGTGTGTGTGTGTGTGATCAGTTCACCCATGAATAATTGATATGCTGCCTATTATAACCATACAGACTTCTTACATCACCTTCTTCTACATCATCAAGTTTGTGTTTACATGGGCTCCCATTTCCACCGTTTAATTAGGTCATATCACATGATCTCTATTTAAGTGATGACATGTTGTGCTGTCAACTAAACCAGGTGCAGTATGCCCTGAGTGTCCAGCAGAGGGAAGTATCCTCACATATAGCATGACATGTGAAATATAGCCAAAGAGATAGTGACCTTATTAAGGTAGATCAGTCTCCTAGGATGACCATACTGGTATCAAACTATTCCTGAGATATAGCAGTTTCTTTAGAGAGAGATTTACAGATCTGAGACTAGATCAGGAGTCCTTTTCTTCAGTGTCTCAGGCAGTGATCTCCTCAGCACACCAGGGGGCAGGAGGAGTCAAACAAATGCATGCTCTGCTCCATCCCCATAGCAAACAGTCAAGAATGGTGTGCTAATCGTGCTGACAGAAACAGATGGGGAAGGTTGGGATTGCACCTCATGGTTTGGTAAATATTTGAATAAAGAGTTTTTTGGCCGTGATAATCTTTGTCTTATAATATTGCTCTTTCATAAAAATGTGGGACATACAAAAGACAAATTCAGATCTGACAGGCTTCAATGAGCCACAACTGTTCTCACAGGCCACAATCCAATACATTTATATTTAGTTATAAAATCAGTGAAGTGCCCCTTTAAGATAGGATGGTGGCCATGTGTGACTTCACCTTTTTCCCATTGTTTTTCCCACTTCAAACCAGTGAACAGAGTATTGAGAGAACTGATAGTTAAATATTCTGCTGTACTTATACTCAAAGTGCTTTTCATTCTACAAGTCATCATTCACCCTTTCACACCTCGTTCATACAGAGCAATGTGCCACTTACTCTACTATTCATACAACACATCACGGCAGCCACGCCATCGGGAGCAACTTAAGCCAATTTCGATTGAAGCACTCCCTCGCAGCCACAGTTGTAATTGATATTTAAGAAACATGAGTACAACTACGTTTGAATTAATTCACAGTTTTTTAAAAGTCTTTGTGTGTCCTGCGATCTGTGTCCTGTCCCTGCAGACTGTTCATCCTGGGCTCCTATGACAGAGAAACCTACGTCCACTGCACCCTGGAGCTGAGCAGCCACCAGTGGAAGGAGAAGACCCGCAGCTCCATCAAACAGGTGGGTTCCCTTCAACACCCCACTTTACTCTCTTTCCTCCATGTGTGTCTTCCCTTCTTAGGTTCCTGGGTAGCAGGGCCCAAGAACTTGACTTGGATTTTGAAAAGTTGTAGCATTAATTTACCAACAAATAAACTATACACACTCCATGTGTGGACAGAAGCATGCTTTGAAGCTTTCACCGTGATTTAAAAAAAAGTCAATTATCATATTCAATAGATCAATCACAAAAAGAACACAATATTTGATAACAAAATCAACATATATAATTCTTAGGTTTTCATAGAAGGATAGCACTGTTTGTTTTGTGTAGCAGTGTGTGTGTACAGTAGGTGTGGCACCTAAACTAGCCACTGAAATATCATCAAAAGTCAAACACAAACCCTGCCTCTACAGATATTGGACACCTTGTCTTATTGACACATTAATTCAGGCTTATTTCCATTTTCCTTGCACTAATTAGATTGTCCCATTGTTGACATTTAAAGCACATGGAACATTTTCAGGCTCCTCCGGCAAACCTTTTCTAATTGCTGCAATTTAGAGATATTACAGTTATCACATCAGGCCTGTTTGGAAGTGACTAATGACCGCTTCACAGTGAAATGTCAGCCCTAATTGCTGGCTCGGGCTCTCGCCTGCCTAATGCTTCTATCCCCGCCACACACCTCGGAATGACATTTGGATTGCCTAAAGATTATTTGTATTGCGTTGAACAGTAATTGTTCTGCAGTTTGCTCTCATGTAATGAAAGTTGAACGCTCTTCCAGCAGGGGGCAGTGAAATATTGTGAGTTTATCTCATTACATATAACAAATATTTTCTCTCTCATTCCAAAACAACTGTTACATTTACAACATGGGTATTGAATTTGTCATTTTTATATTACTTGAGTTTACACAAACTGAATAAATTCAAATTAGTTTAAGTATGACATTTTTGGGAAATGTGGTCAGGTTCCAACTGAAATCAAAACTTGATGGATAATTCGACCTGCTGTCAGTCAATGTGTTTTCTGTTAATGACCTTTCTGCTGCTATTGTTGGACTAACTTAGTTTTATTGTTATGTTATGAGCAATACACATAATATTCATGTTGAGTCTTGCTTTTTAGAGATGGAGTAGTCAGGTGATTTACTTGATTCCAGATCTATTATTCACACAAAGTTGAGATCTACCGTAAAACCCCGAATATTAAACAACATTAATTTAAGACGTATGGATGTATAACTTAATTCAAGCATAAACCTTCTCTCACATTAAATGTGCTTCTCTTGTTATTTGGAGAAAAAAATTGTTAATTAGTTTATAAGGATTATGCCTTTATTATGTTATAAGTATGATTTAATTCCAACTAGACGTAGGATGTTTTGTTCTGTGTGTTAATCCCAGAGGCATATGGGTACAACGTTACATTTGTCTATTGTTTTAGGGAAGTATAACGATAGAGGTAGTGTTTTGCTGTACACATTGTAAAACCTAAAGAGTCAAATGTGTGATTTTGGGCTTTACAGATAAAATGATCTTGACTAGTCTGGCTTCTCAGCGTGTGTGGCTGAGTGGGGAGAACTGGTTAGAAGCGGTTGGTGGTGAACCGTGGGCTTCAGCTTTAAGCTGCACGTCACAAGGCAAGAAGAGAGCCATACTGTAAGTGAGCAGAACAAGTGATGGATAACATGTAGAATGGGTGGTTATCCGCTTCGATCAAGAATATAACCACATCAACTTCGTCAAGCTATATCGGCTTAAGTATGCTACCGGCAACACAGAAATAAGGGAAAACCGGAAATGACAACACACGCTTACCGTACGATGTCGGTAGCCCTTAAGGTGCAGCCAGTACCTTACCAATAAGTAATCAATATGTAAATTGTTCTCAACCAATACAGCCACCAGAACAGCCCTTTCCAAGTGGACACACTTCAGAGCACTTGGTCCATTTTTTGTTAATACACACATAAAAATGCAGATTCACGTTGGCATTTGAGCCTGATTTATCAGACTTCTCCAGTGTGCATGTCCCCAGCAGGACTCTGTAGTACGGATTAAAGGCTATACCATCCTGGAAAAGGTCAATTCCTCATCCTTCTCTCCACTCCCTTTCTCCCTGAAGATTGCCAGATATGAGTTCCTCTCTTCTCTTGTGAAAATAGCCGCATGTCTTGTGTATGTTAATGCTTTTCATGCCATTTAAATATTTTCTCATTTAAACCAGTGTGAGCCACTTGCTCCTGCTTTTCACTGGACCATGCGTCTGTCTTCCCAACGGGAGTCATCAGGATCCGGGTCCTTGGAGAGTGTTCAGCAGATTTATCAGTGCTTGTGTAAGCCTTCTACCTCCCAGTCTAGAATCACTGTTTAGTTTCTACACACAGTCACATAATAGAAGTCACATAACCAGTTAGAATAGGCCTGAGAAACACAGGCTGGTTTTTAATGAGCCTTTCAAATCACTGGCCTTCTCTTTGCTCAGTGTTTCAATTGCCAAATCAAATGTCATGCTTTATTTGAATAGTTAAATGTACAGTCAGCATTGTGCTCATTCTCCTCATTTAAATGTATGCTCACCAAGTCGTGTCCTCAGCTGCCGTGGACAGTGGTTCTCAAACTTTTTCTGTCAGGCCCCCCCTTTGGAGAAAAAAAAAAGTCGGGCCCCCCAACACAAATAGTCACGTAATGGGCCAAGTTAACATTTATTAAAATACATCAATATGAACGTGAGCATTCCTTTGCTAGAACAGTGATAATAAAACAATGCTCCATAAGTCTGTGTTGTCAAAAAATAAATACATAATACAATTGTGCAATCCCTTTGCTAGAACAATAAGTTATAATACTTTGCCACTTTGCAATCTGTGCAAAAAAATGAAAAGAAAGAAAATGCTGATATTTGGCAAAAAAGTGTGTCTTACCACAGCATCAGTGGCTGCAATGAGCCTGTTTGGCACTGCACATTTCTTCAAAACGGCTCGGTGGCCGCGCCAGAGATTTCTTTTGGGGGTGCTGTGCTGCGCTCTCTCTCTCTCGCGCGCACACAAAATGGCTCGTTCCACACACACACACACACAGAGCCGAGCTTGACTGAAACACAGAGACCCAGACGTACTTGTACTGTACTGTATCATATTATTTTCATGCCTCTGCGCCCCCCAGGGGGGGGCGCGCCCCCCACTTTGAGAAACACTGCCCTGAGACAACATCTGGCATCCTTTTCTATCCATTTGTTACACTTAAACATTTAAAAAAAATGTAAACTTAATAAAAAATGCTGGGTTGATATTGGACAATATGAACGTATTGCAATTAAATTGTAATGGCCTAAATTAGAAGTTATTCTAATTTATGTTATTGTTTTCCATTATTTGAGCCAGTGATTGTATGTAGAATGGAGGTATCAAATTCTATTTTGTAATTTGAACATGCTCTATTTCTAATCTAAGAATTGCTATACGTTATTATTTCACCACATACGGGGCTGTTAGGTGACACCATGCTTGTTTCTCTGGAATGATTCTCTTCAGTCACGTTTGTTGTTCTTAAAAATGTCCGCTGCCATCTATTGGTCGATCTTTCCTTCAGCCACTTGCATGTGCACACACAGCACCTGTGAACTGGGTAAATGAAGCCTTGTTCCATTACACGGTGGGAGATTGGGTCTGGTTTTTATTTATTACTCATTTATGGTGTGTTGAGGTCGGGGAGGGGGGTAGGGACGGGGGGACTCTGTGTGTGTGTGTGTGTGTGTGTGTGTGTGTGTGTGTTGTGTGTGTGTGTGTGTGTGTGTGTGTGTGTGTGTGTGTGTGTGTGTGTGTGTGTGTGTGTGTGTGTGTGTGTGTGTGTGTGTGTGTGTGTGTGTGTGTGGTGTGTGTGTGTGTGTGTGTGTGTGTGTGTGTGTGTGTGTGTGTGTGTGTGTGTGTGTGTGTGTGTGTGTGTGTGTGTGTGTGTGTGTGTGTGTGTGTGTGTGTGTGTGTGTGTGTGTGTGTGTGTGTGTGTGTGTGTGTGTGTGTGTGTGTGTGTGTGTGTGTGTGTGTGTGTGTGTGTGTGTGTGTGTGTGTGTGTGTGTGTGTGTGTGTGAGCCAAAACTCATTCGGTTTCCCAGACTGCTCCACAGCAACATGCAGCACCAGTGATTGGGAAGTCGTAGAGAAATATGGACATCTTTATCTGTCCAGGGACTCGGAGCACTTTCAAGGGTTAGAGCAGACCAAAAGCCAGACATTTGTCTTCCGTTCTATAACGTCTCATATGATGGATCTGCTTGTCATCTAAAAGTCAAATCTTTTTTTTATCAAAAATTGCAGATTTGTTTTTTGGTTGCTTGAATAATTAATTTGCAAAAGTTTTATTATTGTTTTTAGAATTATCACTTTTGACATTAATCAAATGGAATGTATTCATTATTTACATACATCTGGTATATTTAATTAAGTGGTAATAGTAATTATAAAAGGTTCTTGCAAATCTGTCTCGCTGAGCATTCAGAGCTTTTTATAATGAAACTATGCCAATGCACTCATGAAATACTGTAATAATTCCAATTGGACTGATTGGAGCCGTCACATCTGAGGATTCTCTTTCTGTTTAGTCATAACTAGGAAAATCAAGAGTCTTGTCCACAGCTGTTACATTGAACCTCAGGATCAGCCACGGCTCTATTTCTGATCCTCTCACACTGTAGTCAATACACACACACACATACACACACACACACACACACACACACACAACTGGCCTTAGAGAGGGAGAAGGCCATTTTATGCATGTCAGACACACACACACTGGTTTGTTTGATGTTCCACTTAGGGTGTCTTTGTGTCTTTAATCTGTCCCGGACACCCGATGAAAGACAGTTGGTTGATGAGGTGACACACGCACGCATGTAAACTCACACTCACACTCTCACACACACACAATGAGTCATTGAGTGTTTCGAGCAGCAGATAGGCCCAACCATTCGGGACTTAGTGTAGTAACACACCCATCATGGTATATTTATTTTA